CAGGAACACGAACAGTAAAATCAAAAATCTTTCTCGTAAGAAATATTACCTGATAAGCAATCCTTGCCCAATCCAACCACTCAAGAAACCGTACTGAAACGGCTTTTTCAAAATCTTATTGCTGCCAAGGATAGCTTCGCATTCTTCGGCGCCATACAATAACACCCAGGGCCAGGGACCGAACCAGATACGGCATATATGCTCACCTCGAGCCTGCAGCATGTAAGCCAGTCCTTGCGCCTGTTCAAAAAATTCTGCAAACTGTTTAATTGCTGCATCATTTTAACTTCATTTTTGAAATTATGTAAATTAATTGAACACTTGAAGTTATGTGTACTTAAGAGCGTAGTGATGCGCACTAAAAGACCGGTACAAGCATGGCTATTTTACAGAATTTTGTCCAGCTGATAGTCATTATAATGGCTCAAACATGAAATACTTAGCTTCAAAACGTTTCCACTGCTCCTTGACAAATTTGTTTTCAACCATTTCTTCCAAAACCAATATGGCAATAAAAATTGACAGCCTAGTTATTTATCCGTTTTTGCTGTGCAGCTCTATAGCGCTGCTACAGCCAGCAAAAACGCATGTTGTCGAGAGGTCGTGTGTGTGTTTATGTGTTCGCGAGCGAGTGAACTTTGTCACAGACTTTCATCTCAGCAACCAGGAAAACTAGGAGGCTGGATATACGTTCCTACCTTGTGTGTCATCCTATCGTTTTAAAATTTTCGTTCACACGCGCCTAGATCCCGCGTACGGATCCCCGAAAAAAATATACAAATTCTTTGACGAGAAACGATTTCGAGAACCATGCAACGTACAAAGCTGAAACTTTACAGAGATAATCTCTGTGCATGTGCGAGCTGAAAATTTCAAAATGAGCTGCCATGCACGCTTGTGCAGCGTGTACGATCACGTCAAAGTTTGCGATCTGGTACTACGCTAACTCAAAAACTTGCCGGAAAACAGTGGCTGAAATTTTGTTAGCATGTTTATCGCTCACATAAGATATCGTATACCTATAATGAGTAGCGATTTGCACTTGTGCTACAAATTAGAACACTTCAAAGATATTTGTAGCGAAATGGATGCTTCGCTTACTAGATAAGATACGAAGCTGAAACTTCGCTGGGATATTCTAATTTCAAGTGCGGTCTTAAATCTGCTTGGAAATGAAATTTACTGCAGTTGGTTACAAGAAATACTCAACTTTACTGAACCCAGGCTGGAACGCACCAGGAGAGCCGGTGCGATCACGCGTTTTTGCACCAGACTTGAAATAATTAGGTTAACTGCATGAGTGGTTG